TTGTTGCTAGGTTAGTTGTCTGATGCTGCTAAGTTAGTTGTGTTTTGTTGCTAGGTTAGTTGTCTGATGTTGCTAAGTTAGTTGTATTTTTTTTTATAAAAAAATTGTAACCCATAGGATTTGAACCTGGTACCTCATGGAGGCAAGACAAGCAATGCAACCACTACACCACTCAAGGTTGAGTGTCTTTTGTTGCTAGGTTATTTATTTCAATACAACGGGTCAACGCCAGAAGTCAACGGTCAACGTCGGAAGTCAACGGTCAACGTCGGAAGTCAACGGTCAACGCCAGAGCCAACGGTCAACTATTTTATTATTTAATTAATGTATATTTTAATTGATTTTGATCTAGACAAAATGAGTGGCTAAGATTGAGTCTCACGTACTCATTTTAAGGAGTGGTCTCATTGGATCCATACCCTATATATATATATATATATATACCCGATGATGGACACAGACAGATAAGTCTGAGGGGTGCTATTATTATTTTTCCTATTTTATCTCTAATGAAGGGGGCACCGCCTCAATTTTCTCTCCTTCCTGATTCTGTATGTTTCTTCAACAAATACAGAAGAAAAAATACAGCAAATCACCAAAAAATACAGACAAAAATCAAACACAAAAAATACACAATAAATTCCTCTGAACCCCCCATGTTGATCAAATTTCGAGCATCAACAGTTTGGCGCTAGAAGGAGGGCCCGTTTGTTCGGGTTAACCTTTGTCGGAAAAACGGCCGATTCTCTATCAACGACAATCACTCCAAGTTAAGTGAATTATTCATCATTTATTCTGATTTCTCAGTATTCACAGTACTCTGCTCATCAACACTCTGTTCATATATTATCTTTGTGAACTGAGGAATGAAAACACGAGGCGTGAATTTCGGTAAAATCCATCGACGGAGTCGAGGGGATCTACAGTAGCGACGCTATACCCTCTGACCAGCCGGAGACATCCCGACAGCAAGGCTCACCGCCACCGTCAGCACCGTCCACAAAAAAAAAAAAATCAATCAATCAATAAGAAGAAGATTGATGGCACCGCTTGGGAACGGTCGGTGGTCAGAAACTTTCAATAATAATACACGTTGCCGCTGCTACAGTAATACACGTTGACGCAACCGCCCAACATCGCGGGGCCCACCCCATCTTTATCAAAACGTCTCTAAACACCGACCCGTCTGGCCAGGACTCGACACCTCAACTTCAGTCAACGACGGGCTAACTTTAGAGCTCGGGTGGCACTTTCAAGTTAAGTCAGAATCTCGGGCCGACACCATCATAACGGACCTCAAAGTCAGGCCCGATATCGGTCTGAATGTCTTTCAGATACCAACCTTGAGACTCCCCGGAATGCCTCAAAATATGATGTCGGTCGTCGAGACCCAACTTTATTTTGCTGGGATACGATTTCATTTCTCTGACGTCGGTACTGTTCCCGACCTCACTGTCGGACCGACCTCGCAAGAGATTCCTTACTTCAAAACAATGACTTCAACCCGAGATTGAATTGCCGACATCTAAATTCATTAAGTCGGAATCGTGGGCCAGACGCCTTCAGAATCGACCTCGCGAGAAACTGAGCTCGACCTCTTTAATACCGAGCCCGACCTAGAAAAGCCGAGCCCGACTTTCAATCTCTTTACGCTTTATCTGGTCGCTAGCTCTTTATCTAGCTACAGTTACATATATGCCCTTACCTTAGGCCAACATAGAAATCACACTTGGAAGGGGATTCCTTTCGAACCCCGTCTAGCTCCCTCTATGAAATAAATCCTGGAAGTCGGTGTTCGTCACGACTTCTAATTTCGGCCGACCTCACATCCATGGCCCTTCTCCGCCGACCTCAGTTGTCGGCACCAACTGACTTCACCTTTGCCGAGATCCCGACTTCCTCGCCTTCAATCGTCGGGCCTTACCGACCTCAATCGTCGGGCCTTACCGACCTCAATCGTAGGGACCTGCCGACCTCAATTAACGGCAAGCACAAGCTCGTATCTCTGATTTCAGCCGCCGGAGTCCACAACGCCGGTGCCGATCCCTGACCTGCCGAAATCAACAACGGTTTTTTTGTTTCGATTGATTCGGCAGCTGTCTGTTGGCCGAACTCGCGACGGCCGACTTCAACCAGAACATTTGCGCCATCAATTTGTTTGGTGAACTCGCGTGGACTTCTGACGATAGCCACATCAATGTCGACAGTTATTTCAAATCCTCGGTTTCTCAGATCTGATCGTCGAGGCTTAAATTCAATCTGAAGAGATATTTTTATTCAGCTTATTGGGCCTAATGAAAAAGAAAGTGTGGGCTGGCAGAGAGTATTGGGTCGTGGGTACAAATATGATGAACAATGATTGGGCCAGTGTGTATGTGAATTCCATGACTAGTGGACAATTAAATTTTTGGGGTCGGGGCCGAGTCCATTTATTAAACCGATGATAGTCGGGGCCAGATCCACTTATCTATGACGAGGTCAAGCGCATTTATTTAAACCGAAGTCGGACTCATTTATCAATATTGGAGCCGAATTCCCTTACCTACGACGAGAACAAATTCATTTACCAGTGTCGGGGCCGAATTTATTTATCGACGCCGGAGCCGACTTCATTTATCTACGCTAAAAGCCAAAGTCACTTACTTATTTGTGACGCCGATATATTTTGCTCGCCGTGAGCTACATCTCCGGCAGAGGTGCTAAAAGCAGAAGTCACTTATTTATTTGTGACGCCGATATATTTTGCTCGCCGTGAGCTACGTTTCCGGCAGAGGTGCTAAAAGCAGAAGTCACTTATTTATTTGTGACGCCGATATATTTAGCTCGCCGTGACCTACGTCTCCGGCAGTGCTGTTATCTATATTTTCTCGCCGTTGAGCCTCCACTCCGGCTGAGTTGACGCATATATTGCCTCATCGTTGAGCTCTTGCTCCGACTGAGAGGGCTTTTACATTTACCTCGTCGTTGAGCCTCTGCTCCGGCTGAGCCCACACTGGTTAGACAAAGTCAATAAGACCTTTCCGGCTGGGAAAAATAAAAATAAGTCGGCACAGTAAAAAAGCCGAATCTCGAAAAATAGTTCGGCTAACCAACGTCGGCACAGTAAAAAAGCTGAATCTCAAAAAATAGTTCGGCTAACCGACGTCGGCACAGTAAAAAAGCCGAATCTCGAAAAATAGTTCGGCAAATCGACGTCGGCACAGTAAAAAAAGCCGAATTAAAGTCGGCGCGGCAAAAGCCCAACACATCCAAGTCCTGAAGATGATTTAGTGAGGCTAATGCCCGTCGGAAATAAAAATATACCGACGTTCCTTTAAAAATTCAACGAGTAAAATAAAATGCTGAATATTTTAGTCGGAAACAAAAAAATGCCGACGTTTCTTTAAAAATTCAGCGAGAAAAATACAATGCTGAATATTCTAGTCGGAAACAAAAAATACCGACGTTCCTTCGTATACAATATTCCGGTAAGGCACAACACCTACCGGCAGAAAAAAGTCGAACTCGACAAAATATCGAGGTAACATCATTTTTCGTGCATTAATCATTTATTGCACTTACTCATCATATATTCATACATTCATACGCGCGTCATATATGCATCTTGACATAAACATAAAAAGTCAAGCAAAAAAATCCTTAAGGACCCCACGCAGGTGAGGCGCACTGTAAGACCTTAATCGGAGGGGATCATTAAATTCCTTAAGGACCAACACTGGTTAGGCAAAGTCAATAAGACCTTTCCGGCTGGGAAAAATAAAAATAAAAACTTATACTAGTTAGGCAAAGTCAATAAGACCTTTCCGGCTGGGAAAAATACAAAAACAAAATCTTCCACCGAGTTCTTCAGCTCGGTCCAAAAAAAAAAATAAATAAAATCTTCTCCAAACCCTGAAGTTGGTTTGGCAAGGCAAATGCCCCACATATTACATCAGAGATCGGGGACATATAACCCAACCGAGAAATAATTGAAAATTAAAAGACCAAAGACCGGATATCGAATTATCCGACCAGGTCCACATTACAAATAAAACAATCACAAACAAAAAATCGTGCTGTCTCAACAAAATCGCGAATCCGATAACAATTCCGGGGGCCCGAGTGCCCATACAACTCCATATCATTATTATCATTACAGAAGCAAAATCCATTAAATGCTTCGCGTTACACACAAAAACGCGAAAGCTGGGTACCAAATTACCCGACTAGGCCATCCAGGGCCCATTCAAAACTCCAGAAAAATTGACTATCCACGTCATCGGCTCCATTAATACGTCAGGCCAAAGCCTGAACACAATCAGCAATTTGGCTCTACGGGTCCCAAAATAACCGGCCAACATTGATTATGGCCAAAATTAATTATACACGCGACTTCAGAATAGTTCTATTCAAAACATGCCCTAAAGTCGGGGGCCTACTGTTGATACCTAATTTTGGTCTCGCCTATTAAAATATTACATGTGGATATATATTAAATAAATTATTTTATTTTTTGGGCCTAAAAATAATACCGCTTGTAATAGTATCGGGCCCATTAAATATATATATATGTATATATATATCCCCGATGATGGACACAGACAGGTAAGTCTGAGGGGTGCTATTATTATTTTTCCTATTTTATCTCTAATGAAGGGGGCACCGCCTCAATTTTTCTCTCCTTCCTGATTCTGTATGTTTCTTCAACAAATACAGAAGAAAAAATACAGCAAATCACCAAAAAATACAAACAAAAATCAAACACAAAAAATACACAATAAATTCCTCTGAACCCCCCATGTTGATCAAATTTCGAGCATCGACAAACCCTCTAAAAGTCCTCTCTTTAGTGCCCCCCCAACAAATATAAAACCTTTTAAACACTGCATGATCACCCTGAAGCTTGCATTTAATTTTTATGTTTGTCCCCGGGTTGGTTTTTCTAAGCTCCTCAGCATAACTCCATAACATGGTGTATTGTTCAACATCACACCCAACACCCTTTGAAAGCACAAGTCTTTTAGCCTTATAGAGTTGTTGACTATTAAATATTAGAGATAAATCCCTTTGCAAGATGAACATCATTGACTCTATAGGCCAACCAGGATTTGTCCATATTTCTTCTTTGTACTTTTCAGCAATAAACTTGGCATTAGCATGTGACACCTTTTGTTCCCTAGGACACTTGTGCTTACTTGACAGAGTTTTAATGATCATTGTGTCTTCATTCTGACCTTTAGAGGCATAAACTAACCAAGGACAAGATTCATGTTTACACCTAACTTGGACCTTATTTTTCTCATTAATTTTAAAAGTTATGTCCCTTCCTTGTTTAATTGCATGCTGTCTAACTGCTTTTCTGAAAGTAGCAGTATCACTGAATTGCATTCCCAGTTCAAAAACAGGGTTGACCATGTCTGTGACAGAATCAAAAATAGGACCACCATTATGTAGTTTAGAAGAGTTATTTGGCTTGCTACTTTTCTCTGCAGGTTCAGGTATTTTCACTTCAAGATTATTCAAGTCTATCCCAACCCATTCAACCTCTTGATCAGTATGCAAATCAAACAACTCATCATCATCAGAAGCCCGTTTACATTCACTATCCAAGAACCTTTCAGAAAAATCTGAGTCTGACCCAACAGATTGATCATCATCACTTTCATTTAAATCAGATAACACCACATTAAAATTTAAATCTATGTTTTCTACATTCTCAGCAACAAATTGTAAAAGTTCATCTACTGTTGGTAGATCATGAGATGGACTACCCACAAAATCTTTCATCCACTGACTATCTTGATCCACCATTTTTTCATGCTCAACAAAAACCCCAACATTCTATTGACATCAAGAAAATTCACCATATTTAGGACATCAGAGTCATTTTCAAGCACCATTAAATCAGAACAATCATTAATCCCACCTTTACTGCAATGAAACCCAAAGACCTCTTTCATTCCTACTTCATCAAACATACTCTTCAATTCAAGTAATGACAACTCATCAACATTGCAGTTATCTATATGAGCAACATCACCACCCAAATAACATATTTTCCCAAATTTACAAACATACCAGAATGGTGAAATCTGATAGTGAATAACTCGGATGAAGAGGAGCAATCTTCGGGGGCTTCGCCATTGTCACCCTCTTTCCGAACTTTCCAGCCCATGTGAGTATTTCAGTCTCAAAATCAATTTTTGAAGGGATTTGAAGGTTAGGAATTTGGGATTTTCGAAGTTGAGGTTTAGGGATTTGAATGTGTTAGGGTTTAACAGAAAGAATGAGAATTTGAGAATGTGAATAAACAGAGATAAACGGACGGTTGATAGGGGATGCTGGTGAAAAAAAACGTAAAGTTCAGGAGGTATTTAGATGTAAAATAATATTTAGGGGGCAAAGTGAAAAAAACCGTAAAGTTTAAGAGGCAAATAAAAATTTTCCCTAAGAAAAATCACTATTGCAAATATATTTGAGATTTTTCACATTTCAAAATTCAAATACAGCTCTACACCCGCTCTTCCTTTCTCTCTCTAGACTTTCTCTCTCTGCCTAGGGTTTTCTCTTGCGCCGATTTCGAAGTCATCCAAGTTCAGACTTCAGAGTGAACATCTCCTTCACTCCTCGACAAACTTACTCACCAGGTATTTTCGATTTCATCGTTTTTCTCTCCGTATTGATTCCTGGTAGTAAAAATAATTATTTTTTCATTCTGCAATATACTTCGTTTTCTTCTGGTGCGGGAAGATCTAACGAAGGAACTCTTTGATCTAATTATTTTATCGATTTATGAATTAGCTAATACTTTCTGTTGAAAAATTGATGACTAGGTGGTCTCGCATTCGAATTCTGTAAATGTTCGTGTTAGTGTCCATTTCTAGAGTTAGGATGATTGAATTTGTCTTTGGAGTTTGTACAGTTTAGCAGCGGGCCTAACAGTTTCTAGGGTTCGCTTGTGCTTGTTTAGTTGATTGTATGTTTTTGTTATTTGGAGTAATTCTAGAATGTGGCTACGTAGTTGATAATCTATTATGGCCCTGTAATCTTTAACTTGTTCCAATGGAGTGTACCATGACAATGATTTGAGTCCTTATTTGATGATTCAAGATGTGGGCTTTTTATAAAATTTGTAATCTGACTCTGCTACTTTTTATTTGGTTCTTAGTATTGAGTTTTTCCAAGTGCTATGTAAATAATGCTCACCTTAGTTTGTCAACATTTGAGATTTAGTTCCCTTTTTGTTTGTTGTATATTCAAAATGCCTTGGATAGTTGTTATTTCCTGTTCCTCTTCTCTTTGCTACAAATTTGCATTCTTGTGTATGCCTTCAATGGTCTTTGAAAATGCTTAATCATGAATGTAACGCCAGTTCTTTGGTGTTTGAGAGAAATGTTTTCTTATTTTATGCCACTGTTTGTGCTGATATTTTAGGTGTTTATTTATTTTATCTTGTGTACTTCAAAGTGTATGATGCATCTGTCCCGGCCCTAAATTCTGGAAATTAAGTTACTTTTTCATGAAATGCTTATTTTTCCATGAAATATGATTAATATAAACAAATATATGAATCCTTACTCTATTATTTGTTTCTGAGCCCTGGATGATTTTTAGTGCCTAGTTTATATAATTGTCTCTACATGTTGATATTGGCAGGGAAAATATGGCTATGGAAGTCACTCAAGTTCTTTTGAGTGCACAAGCTGTTGATTCAACTATAAGGAAGCATGCTGAAGAAACTCTGAAACAGTTTCAGGAGCAAAACCCTCCTGCCTTTCTGTTGTCCCTTTCTGGGGAGCTTGCTAACGAGGAGAAGCCTGTTGAAAGCCGTAAACTAGCAGGCTTGATTCTTAAAAATGCTTTGGATGCCAAGGAGCAGCACAGAAAGCATGAGCACTTTCAAAGATGGCTATCACTGGACGTGGCTGTGAAGAGCCAGATCAAAGCAAGCTTGTTACTGACCCTCTCTTCTGCTGCATCAGATGCTAGGTCAACCACATCGCAAGTCATTGCCAAGGTTGCGGGCATTGAAATGCCACATAAGCAGTGGCCTGAGCTAGTGGCTACCCTCTTATCCAATGTTCAACAAGTTTCTCCCCATCTCAAGCAAGCCACCCTCGAGACACTGGGGTATGTGTGTGAAGAAGTTGAACCAGATGTTGTCGATCAAGATGAAGTGAATAAGATACTCACGGCTGTGGTTCAAGGCATGAATTCTAACGAGGGTAATACTGAAGTGCGTCTTGCCGCCACCCGGGCTTTGTACAACGCACTTGGGTTTGCCCGGGCAAATTTCTCCAATGATATGGAGCGTGATTACATAATGAGGGTTGTTTGCGAGGCCACTCTGTCGCCCGAAGTCAAAATCCGTCAGGCTGCATTCGAGTGCCTCGTCTCTATTGGCTCGACTTATTACGAGAAGTTATCACCATACATCCAAGACATCTTCAACATCACGTCCAAAGCTTTTTTGGATGATGAGGAGCCCGTGGCTCTTCAGGCAATCGAGTTTTGGAGTTCGATCTGTGACGAGGAGATTGATATTCTGGAGGAGTATGATGGCGACCTCGCCGCCGATCCTGATGTTCCGTTCTTCAATTTCATTAAGCAGGCACTGCCAGCACTTGTTCCTTTGCTACTGCAGACGCTCCTCAAGCAAGAGGAAGATCAGGATCAGGACGAAGGCTCTTGGAATCGCGCGATGGCCGGCGGAACCTGCCTTGGCTTGGTGGCTCGTACAGTCGGGGACGATATCGTGCCGCTTGTGATGCCGTTTATAGAAGAAAACATAGCGAAACCCGACTGGCGGCAGAGAGAGGCAGCCACTTACGCATTCGGCTCCATCCTCGAAGGCCCCTCCCCCGACAAACTAATCCCTCTCGTCAACGTTGCTCTCAACTTCATGCTGACTGCTTTGACCAACGACCCGAGCAGCCACGTGAAGGACACGACAGCGTGGACTCTTGGGAGAATCTTCGAATTCCTTCACGGGTCGACCTCTGAGAATCCCATAATTACCCCTGCAAACCTCCAGCCGATCGTCACTGTCCTTCTCCAGAGCATGAGGGACTCTGCCCCTAACGTCGCCGAGAAGTCTTGTGGGGCCCTCTATTTCTTGGCCCAAGGCTATGATTACGCGGGGTCACCCTCGCCCTTAACCCCCTACTTCCAGGAGATAGTTCGGTCCCTTCTCGACGCCACCCGAAGGGAAGACGCAGGCGAGTCGCGGCTACAGACAGCTGCCTATGAGGCGCTGAACGAGGTCGTTAGGTCATCGTCAGGGGATGAGACGGCTCGTCTGGTGCTGGAGCTTGTCCAAGTCATCATGGCCGAGCTTCACAAAACGCTCGAGGCTCAAACACTCTCGTCCGATGAGAGGGAGAAGCAGAATGAGCTGCAGGGACAATTCTGCGGGTGTCTCCAGGTCATTATCCAGAAACTCGGGGCTTCTGATCCCACCAAACATGCCCTAATGCAGTATGCCGACCAAATTATGAGCCTTTTTCTGAGAGTCTTTGCGTGCAGGAGCGCCACTGTACACGAGGAGGCCATGCTTGCTATTGGCGCTTTTGCCTATTTGACGGGCTCCGCCTTTGAGAAGTACATGTCGGATTTCTACAAGTATCTGGAGATGGGTCTGCAGAATTTCGAGGAGTATCAAGTGTGTGCAGTGACTGTGGGTGTTGTGGGGGATGTATGCAGGGCATTGGAGGACAAGATCTTGCCTTACTGTGATGGGATTATGACCCTTCTTCTCAAGGACTTGTCGAGCGATGAGCTGCACAGGTCTGTGAAGCCGCCCATCTTCTCGTGTTTTGGGGATATAGCGCTTGCTATTGGGGAGAATTTCGAGAAGTATTTGATGTATGCGATGCCCATGCTTCAGAGTGCGGCCGAGTTGTCCGCACGTGCGTCGGCAGATGATGACGAGATGATCGAGTATACGAATCTCCTCAGGAATGGGATTCTGGAGGCGTACTCAGGTATATTTCAGGGGTTCAAGAACTCGCCCAAAACTCAGCTCCTGATGCAGTATGCGCCTCACATCCTGCAGTTCTTGGACGCGATGTACCTTGCGAAAGACATGTGAGTATAAACCGATCTTATAAAATGGTTTTTAGGGTTAATTGAAAGGCAATAATAAAAAGAGAAAAGAAACAGAGAGCCCTTTAGGTTTAGTCTTCTCACAAATAATTCCAATTGTCTTTCAATGATAAATGTTTCTCTCACAAGCTGTGCCCGAGTATGAATATATCTCCTAGGAAATCCAAAACTGCCTGTGGACATTTACATCTTGTTAACTGAGTTAGGATGTTTCTGATGCTAATGTCTGATCCATGTGTCTCGTTACAGGGATGATTTAGTGATGAAAACTGCTGTAGGCGTTCTTGGAGATCTAGCGGATACTTTGGGAAGCAATGCTACTGCCTTAATGCAGCAATCTGTGTCGAGCAAAGACTTTTTGAATGAATGTCTGTCTTCCGAGGACCAATTAATTAAAGAATCTGCTGAGTGGGCTAGGCTGGCTATTTCTCGTGCCATATCTGTCTAAGGTGCTCGTCATGCTTTACATGCATTGCATATGGTTGGGTGTTTGTGTTGAGGTCCGTGTTAGACACTAAGTCTTGTCAACTCACAGGAAAATTGAAGCTAAAATCTTTTAAGTTCTTGACACTGACTCATGGGTCATTTGGGTTGTGTCCGTTATGAGGTTGTTCTGATGTATTCCAAATTTGGGGATGGAGATAATTATGAGTTGTCTTTTGGTCTTGGAGATGAGTGCGGAAACTCATGGAAGTTTTGGTATTATTGCAAGAAGAACCAAATGTGTTTTATAAATGTCAAACATCCTCTTAAAGTTTGATGCCGTCGTACGTATTTCACCTTTGTAAGCACGAAAAAAAACTTTTATTACAATTCTCAAACCACAACCACCCTTTTAAGTTTTGGAAGAGTGCTTTATAATTTTCGAAGATTTTGGGAATTTGTTGTTTCCTTGTTTTGTGTTATTTTATTGCCTTTATTCAGACCTCAGATTTGTTGCAATTGTTTATTGATCTTATAACTTAATAGGTTCATTGTGTCATAAACAGTTTTTAGAGCTTAATTATGTTTTACTAGTTTAATTATCTTTTAAAATTACAAAATACTCACTTAGATCATGTTTTGAAGCTCCGTGAGCACTGTTCTAAATTTTGGTTACGTGCCTGCCTAGGTGGCTTGGACTCTTTGATTTTTGTTTAGGCGGTCCTTTTAGGCGCTCTGGCGGCAATTAAGCGCCACATAGTTGGTTAAAGCCGCTACTTAGGTGCCCGTATATATTTTTTTATATATATATTTTTACTTTTGAATGTAATAAAAATGGATTTTGAATATTATTCATGTAATGTACAATNCATATTCCAAGTGACACTAAACCGATTGTTGCTAAAGCTTGACCAAACTCAACCACGAAATTTTGCTGTTGCATCGGTAAATTTTTCCAATCCGTTCGCCTGTTTACAAGTTGTACGTGCAAAAACAATACTCAAAGAATGCCGACAAAAAATTGGAAAAGGATAATTTTAAAATAAATAAACAAAAAACAAGAAGTGTATATACCCGAGATCGGCAATAACAATGCTAATGTTATCTTGAGAGCCTTGATTCTGCAAAAGAAAAATTTTGTTCATAAAACAAATCAACTTTACTGCCTAAGGAATGGAAATGGAAATATGAAGATTGTATGATATATTATTACCAGTGCCATTTGAGCAAGGGCTTCCGAAGCCATCTAAGCAAAAAGAATATGCAAATTACGTAATTTCTTGATGAATTTAAGTACATATCGAGATAGAGAATGGTTCGTTCTTACCTGAACATCTCCATATTGTCGAAGGTGATTTCTGATAAATTTAACAGCATTCAAGCTGAAAGAATGGAGAACTTCTTCAAAGATTGTAGTAGTTAAATATCAGATATAAAGAATAAAAGGTTACTTAAGCATCTCAACCTTATTACAGAGAATCCGGCTATACCTCGCAGGTTAGTTGTTCATAATTGTTTCAAAGAAAAGTGCTTCTCAGAATTAGTCCAAATTTCAAGGGTACTCCCACAGAAACACTCATTGAACAAACATTTAATGTGATGACTATCAACAAAACCATGAATGTTTTACCTGTTTACATAATCCCACAATCCATCAGATGCCAAAACTATGAACTCAGCATCTGATCCAAGAGAAGCATGATAAACATCAGGATGTGCAGTAACCAAGTCTCCCTTCAGTTGTACANGAAGTCAATATATAGCCAAAAATATTTACCAACAGTCTAAAATATTCCCAAATAAACCATTTTTTTTTAAGGACCCAAATAAACCAATTAACAGACAGGAATCTCATTTTAAGCAAGCTCTAGGTGTCATTTTTGAGGCGATCCCGTGACATTTTAGTCTAGTACACTATGATTTTCAAATGCATGAAAGATATTGGAGCTTGATTATAACATTCTTTACATACCGAGAAGCAAATTTTTCGGACCATCGACCTTCCTTGACTCCTTTCTTGACCATGCTTCCCATAAAAACGAAGCAGTTTTAAACGATAAACCTGGTGATGGAATCAGTGTATTTGAGAAAATTCAAAAAGAAAAGAAAAGGCCTTACTCATTCTTCTTGTTCTTAAATCGTATGTCACCAAAAGCACGGGACACTGATATGTCTCCGCAAATCCTTCCATTTACAATCTGCAGATATAAAGCAAGATCCACCTCTGTTCAATTAAATATTATGATACACAATTCATTTGTGCTGAAAATTATTAGGGACAAGAAAAAAAGTTACCGAGGTTCAGCCTTATTACAAACTATACTCTCTTGAATATTCTCTTAAGGTGTTAAAAACACCCCTCCGAAGTTTGTGTTCCATGCAATTTTGCAAAATAAAGACCGGTCACAAACATTTTTGTAATTTAGGAGATAACTGAACTTTTTGTTCTATGCTAATCTAAAGAATGATTTTTTTAATTATTCCAAATTCAGTTCAATAAGAGAACATAAAACAGAAGCACTGCAGTTGCTAAGATGTATCGCCAAAATGACTGCCTCAAGAATGTGGCTATTACAGGGTCGTGTATCAAAGATTCGCAAACTAAAGGCAACCGGAGTTTATTACAACACATAAAATGAATTTTGAGAGTAAAAAGGTATGGTGAAAACACACCCATCCACCGGCTTCTCTAATCCGCTTGACTTCTTCTAGAGAAACTTTCTTGTTCCCAAATGGCCGATGAGAATCGGTCAAGACTTCAGCTTTTCCAGCATGCGAAAGTACCTTAATTCATTCGACTGAAGTTAAAACAATGAAATGCATTCTTGCTAAAAATATCTCATTCTGACTATATCTATAAGCCCTGAAAGAGAAACCAAAAAAAGGGAAAAGAAAAACTTTTGAGGTTTATAAGAAAAAATATTTATCCATTGAGATCTGATTCTATGTGAAATATAAGGGCGGCAACTGTAACTGTTTCAAAAATGTAAAGGGGGTTTTCCAATATGTTGTTGTATATGTAGGAGGTAAAGTGTAATACAAAATCAAATTACAATGTTTATTTATTTATCTTCCAACCTTGATATACCTTCAAGGGATTCTTTTGGTAATTAACCCCAAGCATGTGTTTCCTCTTTCTTTCTTTCTTTTTTTTTTTTTTCTTCTTATTATCAAACTATCCAGCAAGAAGTATAGCTTTTCTTTTTAAGAGTACCAAGGCAATCGTAAAATATACTCAAAAATCACGGTGTAATAACCATACCACACATGAGTCACCAATATGAGATATGTACAACAAATCATCACGGATGAAAATGGCAGTGGCGGTCGAACCAGATTCATCTTCTTCTTCACTCGACTCAAGCCTTTTACAAAATAAAACCTTCAATACAATTTATTTAATATCATATTGAGACTATTTACACTTTTTTGTCAAAACAGATGCTTTCCAACAAGAATTTGATAGAGTGGTTACCATTTTAATAGTTTTGCATCCGCACTTTTGAAGGCGTCTTGAAGTGCTTCCTTGATTGCTTTGAAGTCCTTCCCGTTCAATAGCTGTCCACTTTGCAATGCAGCAACGCATTCTCTATATAGTTCTTCCCTACAGTAATGAATTACTCATGATCTTCACATTATACAAATGAATTTCAACATTTCTCTCTCTCACACACACATACACACAAACACACACTCAGAAAAAGAAAAAGAAAAATAGGCAAGCAAAAAAAAGAGTACACAGGAAAGCAGAAATAGATTTGAGTGTAGTCCCAAAAACTGCTGTTTATACAGAGTGGATCTCTGTTATAGAAACTAAAAAGAGCTGAGAATCATGAGTTGGCATTAATAAATTGTGGAAGTGTATTACTTTTGTGTAAGTATCTAAGGAGAGAAGTAGAATTAGAATCTAAAGCATTGGTCAACTTTTTGTTTTTCAATTTCTCGGCCAAAGCTACTGTCACTTTTTTTCCTTTCTTCCTTCTACTTTAAGTGTTTTTACACTCTCCTTAATGGAATCCAATAACACAATGTAATTTGGAAGCCGGTGATAAATGCGTTAGATTTTGATGATCCTCAAATATGAAAAAATGGAAGAAATTTGTACCACCCATATACTAGAAAACAAAAGATTCAAGTACTTCAGTTTTAGAACAAATAACCTAGTTTTAGAAATTTGTACCACCCATATACTAGAAATCACCATTATCAAATGAACACCTAGTTCAATACAGTGATCCATTTTTTGTTGGCCCCTTAGACAAATCACACCCAAAGGCAAAGACGAAACATTTCTACAATGAAAACACGAACCTGAGGAATTCAACAGAAGAGAACCCAGCATGTCCATCAAAAACTGCAGCATAAGAGAACCCATCAAAACGATCATCAGCCTGAACAATCACAACATCGTCCTCCATCTCTTCACGGGCCCCCTTCAGCAGAACCGAACCCCATCTGATTCCAGACAAACCCGCTAATGAACCTTGGGCGTCTATTGCAATCGCCGAGCAAACAATTCTGTTCTCCCTGCTTTTTATTGTTGGGTTTTTATTTGAGGCTTTATTACAAGCATGTTTGCTGCAAGTCTTGCTCACCAAGAACTTCTGGAGCTGTGGACTGCACAAGGACATTGTTAAGTGAAAAAAACAAGAGTTGCAAGAATTAAAATGTAAAATTTTTTCTCAGGAGTTAGCTGATTACAGGATGTTTTGATTGGCTGAGGTTCGGGGAAGGATGATAGAGGGAACTCTTAACTGTATCAACGGCTTAGATTTCATCTTCTGTCCACGTTAGTTTACTATCAACTATCAAGTATCACCACAAGTTTTGAGGGTCATAATGGGTTTTGAGATATGGGCTCATGGTCTGGTAGACCTGGGCCTATTAAATCGTTAAATGGTGGCCATGTTGATTTAAGGAGACTTTCTTGGGCGAGAAATTTATCCCGCACACCACCAGGAGCAATTTTAATTGTACACATACGAATTGTATTTTTTTATTTGTAATTATGCTAACATCCTACTTTTTATTTGGAATTATACCACATCCTTTATCCAACACCCTATCTTTCTCTTTTTCTTTCCGTCAATTTTTTATCTCTTTCTTATCTCTTCTCCTTCTTCTTTTCATCAATTTGCAAACACCTATAACTTTCCAAATCCAAAATCAAACAGCCCCCTCAAAATTCTTGCCAAAAACACTAAAATTTTGTCACCATTTTCTTGTATTCCCATCCCAATTTTGAAGATCTTGACGGTGGACGATGCCTTGGTGGCGGTCAGAGAAGCGATGACCAGTGGGTGAAAGCAGCGCGGACTGACTTCAATCTCCCGAATTGAGGTCGCACAGTGACCAATGGGTGGTCGGAAGTCGTCTTGTGTAGAGACTCAAAAGGCGGAGAATCAGAACACTGGCGGTGGTGCGGCGTGGTCAGTGGGGGGTAAGCCTGATAATGAAATTATGAAAGCCCGCATTTAGGTTTGAAGTAGTAACAAATGCTCAGATCGAACACTTGACAATCGAACCTCAGATCTGGTCGCTAACGAGAGACGACCATGGGCAGGGAGGAAGACAAGCGGGCTGGCGGATTTCGGTCGAGGGCGGCCAAGCCACGTCTGACAACCTGACGCCTGGATCTGGTGTTGTGACAAAACCGGACAACTCTTTGATGTGTATAATATATTGTCAGTATATATTCTGTACATAATGACTATATTTTTTTCTGTATATCTTATGTTTGTCTTCCGTATATAATGACGATATATTCAGTATATTTTTGGTATATAATGCGTTTTTAGTTTTCTTTTATCTTCTGTATGTCTTTTGTAAATAATAACTATATATATTCAGTATATATTCTGTATATGATGCATTTTGGTTCTCCTTATCCGGTGGGATTAGGGTTCGATTTTCCTAATCAAGAGGCGAACCACCTAAAAAGAAACGGGGAGGAAGAAAAAAAATAAAGATTGTGGAAAGATAAAAAGAAACAGGGGAAGAAATAGGGGAAGAAGAAAAAATATTAAAGAGAGAGGAAAGAGAAAAATAATGTGGCGTGTTTAAAGAGAGAGAAAAGAGAAAAAAACGTGATGTTCGTAGATGTACAAATTAAATTTGAATGTAGTAAATTTATAATTATTTAACAATCGGATATGTAGGTATGTAAATTCCCCGTCTTGGGCCACGTTCAAGTTTACTGCCCTTTTTTTCCGAAGGTCTTATATACCACACAAACAAGAACAATAAAGATAACGACCAAAGCAGCCAAAGTCGACAACCAAATGGCTGAATTGAGAGGACATACCAAAGGGAGCCTAAAGACCACAACTCACCCACAGAAAGAAAAAATAATAACCTCCCACAAGTATATAACACAACTCCTAAAAGTGAAGAACAAAAACTCCCAAAGGGAGAACAACCCAAAAGAGAGAACAAAAGCACACCCTACAACACAGAAAAAACACAAAACACAACACTGCAACTAACACAACACTAACACTATACTAGACTAAAGCCCTCCTCCACGGCAGTCTGACAGCACCACACATACACTACTCGAACCCAGCCCAGGCGGAATATCCACCGAGTTTACTAAGTTTACTGCTCCTTACTTGAGAAAATTACTTCTCTCACGACGGCTTAACGTTTTCATTAAAATTTACTGCTTCCTACTTTTATTTGCAATCTTACGAATGCTTAATTAATAATTATCCTTATATTTAGTTCCCATCGCAACCCTCTCTCTCTCTCACTTTCCGCCTCCCCGTTCTCCTTATTTCTTCTCTATCTATTTCTTCACGCCCAACATCAAATATGACGGTGACTCAAATTCCACAAGGGCGAGACATGAATCGGCAGCCAAGAGAGACCCAATTCCTCCCTTCTTTTTTGTACAAATCGCAGCCCACCCACCCCATCACCCTTTGTCGACGATGGCTGAGACGCACGAATAGCGGCGCCGTGACCAGAGATTAGGGAGCGGCGTGGAGACTAGATCGAGGAGCTCTATCAAGTGGCACGACTACGTATTTGATGACGACATCGTCGACGTACGACTATCGATGGAGGTGCGATTCAACGGCGACGGTCGGCAACTACGGTAGCTTTAATCGGTCCAATTAAGTCGTCGGCTTAAAAAGATTAATTCGTGCTTTATTTGAGAGATTTTGTTTTTTGGGTATAGGTTTGAATAAAAGATGTGATCCTTTTTCTGTTTATTCAATTGATAGATGAGGTTTCGGCTTTGGTGTTGCCAGGGGTAGTATCTTTTTCGTGTTTATTCAATTGATAAGGCATTTGATGTATATAATGAGTTTTCAGTATATCATTTGTATATCTTCTTTATATAATGACAAGATTGGTTTATCATCTTCTTTATGTCTTCTTCATATAATGACTATATATTATGTATATCGTNAAAAAAAAAAAAAAAAAAAAAAAAAAGAAAAAAAACGACTAGATTGGTTTATATTCAGTATATCTTCTGTATATAATGCGTTCTCAACCACTTCCTCGGCTGATGTACACGCGACTTCCTTAAAGTTCAAAGGTCCTTTAACAACTCTTTGATTTTATTATCTAAGTTCCCAAATATCAAATGAGTTACAACTCAAATAATATACATCACAATTTTTTATTTTTTATTTTTGGTATAACTTGCCATGTGAGAGAAGATCTTTGCTTTATTTTGTTACAAATTTTCCCAACAGACGAAACTGTATATGTGATGTTTATATATTGTATATGTTGTATGTATAGGAAATATATTTTTAGTATATGCTTTCGTAGACACAATCACGTATATGTTTTCAATGAAGACCCATTGGTCAGTTGACCTCGCCGCACTTCGGCGTCAACAGGGATGAGAGAGAGAATAGATGGGGATGATTTTTTGTTATTAATGTAAATCCGTTCAATTATGGTATTTCACTTTTATTATGGTGCAACCCTTCAGTTACGGGATTTAGTTAGGAAACTATATATCAATGCAGTATTTTGGTATCTAGCAAATACCTTATTATTTTGCTTTACTTTCGTACATGTGTAGAAATGTCACTGGCCGAACCGGCCCGTGAACCTGTCTCGAACCGGCCTCCTAAGTGCCGATTTGTTGAATCGGACCCTTAGGGTCGCGGTTCGGTCCCCGTTCATAAATTTGTTTTTGGCCCCGTCGGGCCGCAGGTTGGGCGACGGGCCACAGTGTTTTTCTTTTTTTTTTTTTAAAGGGCCGTACCGGCCCGGAACCGCCTGAAACCCGTCAGGTCGGTGAACCGGCGGTTCAAGGCCGATTCTATAAACCGGCCCATATAAATGGGCGGGCTAGTTACGGGCACTGTTCTAAAAATCGGCTTAGGCGGCCGCCTAGGCGCTACGCGGTGCCCGGACGTCTCCGATTTGCACAAATCGGCAGAAAAAATCGGACAGACGGTTAGGCGCCGCCTAGGCGGGCTTGGCGGCCAGGTGGTTAGGCAGCGGCTAGGCGGGTATAGGCGGACCTAGGCAGGCTCGACGACAATTTTTCAGTTTTTTTTAAATACTTATTACATTATTTTGTTCTCATGTTTTCTTTAAAATATATTAATATTATTATTTAGACTTAGGTGTGTGGATTTTTTATAAGTTGAGATAGTTTTATTTTGTAGCTAGTTAAAATACATAAAAAAATTAGGTATTTAATATTAATTTCTAGGCACCGACTAAACGCCGCCTAAGAGCACACACAATGCTTTGGGTCTTTTTGCATATGTGGCAAATAAAAAAACTTAAGTTTATAATAACATGGACAAACCCAAGCTAAAAAGACTAAAATTTATCCAATGCAAAAAAAGTACTAGGTCTAGAATACCTAACAACCAATAAAAATATAATAATAGTAAATAATCGCTATTGTAAGGTTCACACTTGGTTTCAAAATAGACCCAAGAGTGGACTTGGTCTCTTTTTTTTTTTTTTGCCACATCAGGTAGACTAGGTCCACTTTTAATTGCATTGTGAATCACTTTTTTATAAACTAAGTCTATTTCTTACATGTCATGTGATTCTTTTTAAAGAGACTCAAAGCATTGTGGGTGCTCTAAGCTCTGCTTAGGTGGTCTAGGCGCTAAACACTCGACGCCTAACAACTTTTAGAATACTGATTATGGGCCATGAAAATTGAGGCCCGCCGGGTTGAGCCGGGCCGGGGTGAGTCGCGGCCCGGCAAATGGCCACGTCTATACATGTGCAAATAATTTTGGAATTACATAAAACTTGCAATTTTTTATGTTCAGTGAGTGCACAAATGTAAATAGCCCGCTTAACTTTAAGCCGACTTATACTTCCGTTTTTTTTTAGCAATGCGACTTTTGATGTTTCAACCAGATTATTATTGATCGCTAATCTATCAGAGCCAAAACCCTAGTCGCAGCCGTTAGCCTGCCGGTATTACCGCCCTCGCCGGCGCCCTCGCCTACCGGTGTCAGTAGAACTCATTTGAAGTGCTTTTCGTTGCAACCACTTACACTCATTCTTGTATTGGAAGAGAAGGAAAAGGAAGGAGATGGCTTATTTGCATTACGGGAAAAATATCCTGCGGCGTAGCGCGATGCACCACCCGCTGGTCCACGCTGCTCAAGGCGTTCGTTACCGAAAGCTGGAGGTTATCCTCACCACGGTATCACCTATATTTCCGCTAGCCTCTTGTCCAAACCTTTAATACATATATATTAATTGCTGTTCGTTGTGGTTGATTAGACGATTGATAAGCTGGGCAGGGCTGGGGAAACTGTCCAGGTTGCGCCGGGGTATTTCCGTAATTATCTGATGCCGAAGTTGCTTGCTGTGCCGAACATTGACAAGTTTGCTTATCTCATTAGTGAGCAGCGCAAGGTGATTCTTCTTTTCTATCCATATTGAAATATTGTATTTGAGTATTAATAGCTGTTTTGTTGGAAATGTTTGTTGTTTGGTGATTGGGCGAAGCAAAGTTTTGAACATGTAATGGGGCTTTGAAACTTATATACATTGGAGTGGAATGGGTTTTTCTTTTGATGGCATTTCTCTTTAGATTTTTTTCCCAATCGTTCTCTTGTACAAATTTGTACTTGTTAGAAGTTCATTTGCCTTTGTAATACAGATATAGTCATCCCCGTAAAACACGTTTCAGGGTTTTTCATGTATTTCGGACGTGAAAGTCTGTCAGCTTGTCTGGTGGCATTATTTCAGATCCTATTTCTAATTTAGTGATGATGTTTGCTTTCATCTCCCTTGATTGCTTCCAACAGATTTACGAACCTAAGGAAGTTGAAAAGGTTAAAGTTGCTTCAAAGAAAGAGGGAAGCAGCATGAAAGAGTATGAGGCTGCGGCAAATCGTCTTGCCAGCACAAGATTGGTTGGTTTCTTTTCTTTTCTTTTTTTTTTTTCTAAAAAAATGTAGCTTTTGATCTACACGCACATTAGAAGGTTTCTGACAAATGTAAAATCCTGTGCTTTATCGTCTGAAATCTAATATCTCTACTCATTCTCTATAAGGTTAATTATCTATAACCAATATATTTTCATTCTTTTTCTCCAAACCTGGTAACTTTAGTATCTAACCCTTCATTTACCTCTGTGTTTTCCATTTCATGCCCCAAGATATGTAATAGAAAAGCTATTTGAAAGTTTGGTTCATGGTTTCATAAATATGATAGCAACCGCTGAACATGTGAATCAATCCGTGGTGTTATTGTTAAATTTTCACCCTTGATCAGTTTAATGCATTTCCGTGACTGTGGAGTTGAAAAAAAAAAAATGTTCTATTCGTGTTCAACTTTAGGCTGGGAGTAGCAAGTTAATTTGTCAGAAAAAATTACGAGGAGAAAAGTTATCGACTACAAAATTATTTTCTTTTAGCATTGAGTAATAATTTTTTTCTTCTACCAGAATATAAGAAAGTTCATCATAGAGGGAAAAGGAATTGAGTTGCGTGAGCCAGTGACCAAAGAAGAAATCATTGCTGAGGTATGACTCCTGTTTGATCTTATTTGTGTTTGCTCTGAAATTTGTTTCTCATACAAATCTGTACGGTTTGAGATTATACAACTTTGTTGTAAGCATACACCAATGTATCGGTAAATTTTTGAACTATCAATTTTGAACTGTTTCCTGTTTTATCTTATTGTGAAACCCTGTGCTTTCCTCTTACTGATATTTTTCAGTTTACCTTTCTTTCCCCTCTAAATGCTAATTGGACCTTTTCTTATAATGGTTACTGACATAGATAAAGATAAATAATGTCATAATTCTTCAGCTGTAATTCTTCAGTTATTACTCTTCAATAGAATAGCCATCCATTTTTGGTCTACTAAGTTTTCTGTTTGAAAATGATTAGGTTGCCCGTCAGCTTCAGGTAAAGATCGGACCTGAAAATCTGGACCTACAAGATCCTTTGTCGTCTTTGGGGGAGTACAAAGTCCCATTGCGTTTGCCAAAATCTTTACCTAAGCCAGTGGGAGATGAGTGGATCCTTAATATAAAAATTAGGAAAAGATGAGGGACTTGGATGCTATTTCCAGCCAAATGCTGTAATGAAATGTATCTTTGTTCCCCAAAGCTGGAGATGATTATAACCAAGAGATCATATCATCTGTTAGTGAACTTAGCAGGACAAGGTTATATCTCTATCTTGTGTCGCATTAATTTCCCTATTTGTTTTTTAATTTATCAGGAATGATAAACAGTGTAAGGTTTTTTTATGCTTTTATGCCACAAATAATATATGGTTGATCACTTGATTGATGTAGGTAATTTTTCACAACACAATGTGAGATGAAAGTCTCATGCACGGTTTTGAATGAGAGAAACAAGGTTTTGAATGTGAGAAACAAGTGAGGAATCCCGTTTTCTCGATCCAGGATTCTATTTAATCATCAATCCACCTATTCACGTTTTTCTCGGCGTGACAACATGAGTGTGAAAGGGGTTTAAGAATCTGTTTTCTTTTTTTTAAGGGCTAAAATCACTTACTTTGACTATTCTTCCCCATGTCTTAGGTTTGTTTCCATGCCAACTTATAAGCCTCATTTGGTTGCTGGGAAGTGGGAACTGGCTGAAATTAATATTGATAGATGGCTACTGTGTACTGTGTAGACAAAATTAAACTTGTATTCGTTGTTATTCACGATAGGTATATCGGTGGT